TCTTTTATTAATTAGATATATTATTTTACGAATATATTTTTCAGATCAATAGAACTAATTTTACAAAATCCCATATCTATATTCTTTTAAAATATTAAATCCGCATGAATATTACCTCCATATATATTTTCTATTTCACTCTAAAGCTTTTCTCTTTCTCCTCCTCCTCTCCCCCTCTCGCGCCTTTCTCGCCTCTCGTACACCTCTCAGCTCTTACGCCCTCTCTCGCGCCCCTCTCGCATCCTTCTCGCGCCCCCCTCATCCCTATCCCCTCTTCCCTCTTCCCTCTCCTCTCTCCTCTCTCCTCTCTCCTCTCTCCTCTCTGCTCTCCTCCTCGTTCCTCCTTCCAAACGGTACTCCTGAAATAGATTTGCTAATTATTAACAAGTGGAACTATATGACCCTACGCCCTACATTGGCTACCCAGAAACTCCAATATCCCTTGATCAAGGAATTTTCCTTAAACTATAGTAAGATCCCGAAAATGATTTGAGGAATACTCCTTAATCTTGTAACTCATTGTCTTCTATCGAAGCATTTGGATGAGGGTCCAATGTTGTCTACTAGGTCTTGAAATCTGGATAACCGACCACCACGTTCAATAAAAGTTTCAGGTTTGCCACCCATCACCTCTTGAAAGGATTTTGGTTCCTTCTGAAATTTGGAATTTGGGGTTCGGATGAATGAGTAGCAGAGTAGCACAGGAACTGGACTGCCAAGAGTTGCGTCCTCCGCCTCGAACAGGCCCTTGGGGGGGGGGGCAAATTTTAAAACACATTGGCGGCTTTAGTCCTCGACCCCCAGCACCTCTATCAGCACAAAGCCTGCTCGATATAGCAGAATTTCATGTCCGAAACAGTTCCGACATAAGATCTTGAGTATAACGTGCTATGTAAGAATACTCCGAATCAACTCTGGCAAACGCACACCGCCACGGCGTACTATTCTGGTAATTAACGGATATTGGAGTCTCATACTATGATCTTTTATGATATGCCACAACATACTATCAGATTTAAAGACTACTCCTTAATTAAGGGGTTTTGGAGTCTCATACTATATAATACACTGTATTACACTATAATATACTACAAGATTTAAGGACTACTCCTTTAATTCAGGGATATTGGGGTCTCTGGCTATATGGGGGTGTCCGAAAATACGGGTTCCTAATATGGTACCCTAAATAATAGGATCCTTTTTACAAGGACCTCAAAATAAGGTACCCCTATTTTCGGACACCCCCATATCAGATCCTGGGTCCCGGAATCTGGCACCCTCCCTCAATCCCGAAGACGTGAGAACGAGCCAGCGATGTCGCAACAAACCTGAATACCTGACCCAAAGCCGACAGACGCCAACCCAGGAAATCCGAAAGCTTCAAGTCAGATCGCATATTCCATGTGCCTTTTGCGCAAAAAAGGGTAAGTTTGCTGAGCTCAGTTCTTCTCGCTACGGCGATTGCCGACGCTAGGAAGGCTCATTGCGAGTCAGTCCAGGACCGATGGCGATAGGGTGCCCTGATCTGTCGCTTGTCGCTGAAGCCTGGAGTACTATGGGCTACAGGTTTAGCATTGTGTGGGGATCAGGCTTGACCCGATGACTTGCAAGTCTTGAGGCTCAACAGGTTCAGGGCTGCAAGGGACGTGGATGCATCAGGTTGAACTCTCCTGGCTGCGTCGGGGTTCGCAAGGTGGTAGCTTCTCACTCTCGGAGATACATGCCCCCTTAGCCCGCAATGGCAAGCCCCTTCAACTCTCCAAGATACCTTGAACAGACATGAACCCTGAATCCTTTCCCCTCAACGTCTCTTGATACTTGAATCTTCCTTCCCGAAAAAGAAGGCTTCCTGGACCCATTTCTCTTCAAATGCGATGCGCTGGCTAGAGATTCGATCCACCTGGAGACTAATTACTCTTCTTCCTCTGCTAACATACTCCTCGTTTCATGATGGAACGGCCATGAAATGGAGCATTGGAGCCACAATGTAACAGAAGTCAGCCGAATTATTTAGATTGGGGTTTTGGTAGCTTCCAAGCCATGTTTCGGGAACTCTAATGCTAAGGAACATTACTACAGCCCTAAACCCTGAACCCCCAAACCCCTAAAACCCTAAACCTTAAATGCCCTAAACCCCCAAACCCCTAAACCCCCAAACCCTAAACCCATCAACCCTGAGCACTATTGAACACGTCGACCCAAGCTGGCTGCTTAGCGGCTGGAGGTGCCGCGGTTTCCCAGGCCAGTGAGACTCCTCAGTCGAAACTTAGAGAGCTGAGGGTTGAGGGTTGAGGGTTTAGCGGTTAAGTTTAGGGTTTAGGGTGTTAGGGGTTTGGGTTATAGTTATGGGGTTCGGGGGTTTGGGGGTTAGGTTTAGGGTTTTGGGGCTTAGGGATTTAGGGACTGAGGGTTAGGGTTTATGGGGTTCAGGGTTGGGGCTTTGGATCTTCAGTGCTCCAGTAAAAGGCCACCTAGGAGTTTCGGCTTCAAGGGCATCGGGGTGCTGGGCTGGGGTTGCACCCGGGGGCTGTTGGGGCAAACCTTCGCGTTCTGGGATCTTAGCGTCCGCACGCGTCTGCAGGGACTAGCCCGATTTGCCGGCATGTCTTGAGTGGGGTCAATTCCAGAGTGAGCCAGTGAATGTTGGGAAGAGGCAAGGGACTCACTCCTGCTACCACCCTAATCCCTAAACCCCCTAAACCCTAAATTGAGCTGTATGCCCTCCAGACTTCGCTAGTAGGGCTTGGGAGGTCGGAGAGGAATCCTTGTGAGTAGAGCTACCTACTACCGGAGTCCTGAAAGAAACCAACTTTTCGAAGACGGCCATGAAATTCTCGTGGCCCAGCCACATCAAGAAAACACTAGTTCACTGCTGTAGGAGGGTTCGCATCCCAAAGAAGGGCTTGTTCTGAACTTCCCTCCACTTCCAGCGTCCTTTCTTCACTAGGGGCGGATCCATCTCCAGAGCACATCAAGGCTGACAACCGGATTTGGCACAGTAGACTGCCTCGATGCACTGCTGTATCTGCTGCTGAACAAAAAAACTCGTGAAACTTCAGAACACTGGCGGCCCCCCCCCCCCAAATACCATTCATAGAGGCCTTTATGGTTCGTAAAAATGGGTAATGTAGGAACCTGGTTAAGAAACCCAAGGCCCATAACCCCAAAATAGTAGGATTCATATGATAAGGAACCCTAATAAAAGCCCAAGGTGTCTTAATCAGGTTCCTACATTATTATCGTACCCTTATAGATCCCTTATAGTAACCCTTACAGACCCCTTTAAAGGAACCCTAAAACATTACTTAGTAACTTAGGTTCGACTAAAGGGCCTGCGAGGGGTGCTTTCTTCAGGGCCAGCGCTACGTATCTGCGCTCCTGGCCACATCGTCTCAGGCGTCGCCGTAACTGGCGACGGCTTTAAGAGACTTTACAGTTGCCCTAAACCCTAAACCCCTAAGCCCCTAAACCCTCTGCTTGGAGGTTCATGGGCAGTTATAAGTGGGGCTTCAAGTCCCCTAATATGGGTTATAAGTATAATTACCCTTAAACCAAAAGCTTTAAAGAGCTCGGGAAGAACCTCGAGCGAGACTGGCCGTGACAGGAGCATCTCCGGCGTGAACAAAGACTGGGCTCTTGTCATAAGGGATTTAAGTTCCCCAAATAGGGATATATATATATATATATGTATAACCACTAAGGGATCTATAGGGGTTCCTTTAAGGGTATAGGGTTTAAGGTTAAGTTGCCATAATATTAGGGATCTATGGTAAATAACGTGGTTCCTTATTATGGTACCTTAAATACTTAAAGCCCTTAGCAAGAACCCAGAAGAAAATCCCACAGCAAGTTGTTATCCGACAATCCGGCTGCGCTTGTTCTTGAACCAGGCTGCTCGAATCTTTGCAGCACAAACTTCGCGGGATGAAGAGTCTATAGGACTCTAGGATCTACGAGCTGTAACCTTGAACGTGAATGCCACTGCGCAGGTCTAGGTTTGACTTTCCCTGGACACACTCGAGATCGGATACCAGACGGTATCTACGAGACCTCAAGACTGCGGCTTTTCGCAGAAGAGGTTCTGGAACATGGCGGCTCGCCTCTCGGCACTAAGGGCCGACAGACCTCTCTCGCAGTCGTGAGACCTTGGCATGGGCCTTGGCATCTCCGGCGCCGCTGAAATGCTATCATGGATACCAACCGCGAGATCTCTCTGAGGTCTCTCAGCCTCCTCGAAGATCGGAGCAAGAGGTCGCAGCACCGGACAACTGGCAGGCCTGCCCTCCTCCGGATCGCTCAGAAACAGGATCACCTCGGGGGCCTCTTCGAAACGCACCCTCCACCTCTCCAAGTCTGGCAGCGCAGGTGGGGAGGTGCTGCACATGCTGCTTGCTGAGCTGGCGGACAGAAGAACGGATGGACTGGATTTGGACCGCTTCCTCCCCTGCTCCTGCAGCAAATCATCTGAGGCCGGGGTCAAAACTCTATGCCTGCGAGGCGGCCTGGTATGCGGAGGTGGTGTCGAAGGCTTCTTTGGCACAAGGGAGGCCATGGAAACTTGGAAGGACTTGGAATGTTGGAAGTCCTGCAAGATCTCTCGAGTATCCCGAGGATCTCACGCACTGGCAGTGTCTTGAGCCAGTATAGCACTGCCAAGAAAAGGACATGCATGAAGGCACTGCCGGAGGGTGAGGCGGGGTCATGGACCTAGAAGTCATATGCTCCGCGCTCCACGCTGAACAGCAGACATTGCGACTGAATGAAACATTGCAGATGCGATTCGGCTCGATGTAGCCTGGAACCGCATTTAGGGTTGGCTACTGTAGGGGCCATAATAACTAGAATAGGGTTTTGGAGTATAGTATACGGTAACTATAAGAAGGAACCCCCCAAAATACTATAGGTAGTTATTAGGGCCCCTACAGTACTCAGACAATGCAAGACTCTTCACCGCCCTTCGGAAACTGAAGATCGAAGCTGAAGTCGCGAACCCGAACACCCCAAAGCCTAAACCCGATGAACCCTACCCATGGGCCCCATAGTAGTTCCTTTTTGGGGTTCATATTTAGAATCCCATAATTTCCCAAAAAGGAACTACTATGGGGCCTAAAGCTCCATCTCCAAGGCAACCAAGAGGCACGACTCGCTTCAGCAAGTACCTAAGCTCTTCGGAACTGTGGCCACGATTGTAAAATAGGGGCCTCAATAAGTAACTTAGAATGGGGTTTTGGGGCACATTATGTTACAATTACTTATGCTAAGGAACCTCAAAAATAGTACAGGTAATTGTTACAGTATCGCCCCTATGTTATTCAGTCCATTCTTTGAATGCACGACTGGCCTTGACACGCGGCTTTGCTTTTGCGAGCATGTATCCTAGCAACATCGCAAGTTTCATGGCTTGAAGTATTTGAGCTACATCTTTCCGCTCGCAAAGTTCAAAGCCGCTAGGCCCGAAACCTAAACCCTAAATCCTGTCCCTGCTCCCAAGCTCCCTCTTCCCTGCCTTGGGCCGAGGGTGTAGGGGGTTTAGGGTCTTGGGCGGGTTTGGGTTTAGGGTTGACCCATCGTTCAGAGGTTGGAACTGATTACGTCCACATCCAGAAGCTTTTGGAGCAGGCTTTAGGGTTTAGGCTAGGGTTTAGGCTCTCTTCATCACCAGCATTTCCGCATCTACCTGCTTCCTTCGTTGCCGTCTGTTATTTAGTGTTGGAGTTCGAGGCATCGCTGAGCTAGCACATCCCATTTCAGGGCTTAGCCGGCGACGTATTCACCCACATCCAACCCCTCCCACACCCATCCTACCCCCATGGAAACTCAGGCACGTAGGCTTCTGGCTGGAGCATGTTCGAACCCTCAGAATCATGGCTTGGTGGATTGAGGTTCTCGCGATTGCTTTGGCCTGCAAGCTCTGATCCTGCAGCGAAGCCACAAACAAAGCAATGAACTGCATCGTTGCCCAAGCATGAAAAACGTTATCACACTGGGTAGCTGTTGGCTTCTCTGCGGACCATGTTGCCACAGAAGGAACGGAGAAACGATCAGCACAGCCCCGACAACGACTCGGTAGAAGACGCTCCTGTGCATGCTTTTCACTGTCGGCAGATCATGTTGCAGTGATCTTGAACAGTTCTGATGATGACGGAAGAATCAACGCGCTCACTTCTGATTTCGTTTGCAAGGGGACTTGTTGTGGTTGCATTTGAGATTATGTGGTCGCGGATGTTGGAAGTTTTCGTTTCAAGGCATTGGAGATGATGGGCCATGAGGATTGGCTCTAAACCCAGAGTGAACATGGAACACAACCTGACACCCTCAACCCAACACTACAAAACCGCGAACGTTGCGACAGGCGCGCTACAGACCCACATGAATCAGTGCTAGACCTCACCCTTGCAGCTTGAATCTCGTTGTCTCGTGGATGAGACCTAACTGAAGCCAACAATCCAAGCCTGCAATCTCAAATCCTAATGCAGGGGCCTTAATAATTAGAAAAGGGTTTGGGGAGCCAGTCTACCATAATTATTACGAAGGAACCGCCGCAATAGTGTTAGGCCCCTATACTAATCCCAGATGGCACTTGGGGTGCACAAAGGCCGGCATCTGCATTTACCTCAGTCACTATCATACCCTGTACCCCAAACCGCAGGGTGCTTCAACACCGTCTGGATGTTCGTGTGGCACTCCTGGGCTGCTAGCGCTAGTTTTCTATTCTCATAGGTTTCATCTAACCAGTGGTTTTGGGGTTCCATTGGCTCTTTAGCTCCTTATTTAGTAGGGATTATCATCATCCCTGGCTCCTTAGCTCCCCCATTACCAATGGTTAGTCATGCTTGGTGCTTGGTGTTCAAGAGCTTAAGTTTTGAGGCTGGGATGTGAGCAAAAAACCCAAGACCGATAACCACAACTCGTAGCTTCGGGCACCGCTGAAGATGGCTACATCGGTTTAGGGTTCTTTTTTAAAAAAATTAGGGTTTAGGGTTTAGGGAAGAAGGCCTGACAGACCCCTTGGCCTAGCATGAAGAGAAGCATGGTTCAGTGACGTGATCTCCCTGCCCTTAACTTCAGTTTCGCTCTATCAAAAATGGGTCAAAGGTCCCGTCTTCTACTTGGCCTCCCAATTCCTTCCAACCAGGGTTTTTACACTGTACATGCTAACTTGCGGTCACGAATCATAAAACCTCAAGTTGAAGGATTTCTTGTTTTGGGCTTGTGGTTTGGGTGTTGGGCTCGGTACTGTGTCCCGAGCTTCAAGGTTTAGACTACTGTCCAGAACCCCAGCCACAACGGCAACTGAACTCTAAACCGTGAGAAAGCCCGAACAGAAGCCGGAAAGTCCCGAAGGCAGCCTCTAAAGTTTAGGGTTTGGGGTTTAGGGTTTGGGGTTTGGGGGGTTTAGGGAAGCCATTATAGAACCCGAAGCCCTCGGTCCCTAATCATCTTTATTGAAATTGCACGTATGCACACACAATCAACCGTGCCAAAATGCGGAGAGGGTTGGGGGTTTAAGGATGAGCTTTTAGGATGTTGGGATTGCCGTCAGAAAGGTGATACCTCTTGCTCGCGTGGTCAAGGAAAGAATGCGTACATGCGAAGTGGGGTAGCATGTCGCTCCGAAGCCAAAAACATCTCACCACGTCTGGAAGATCTGCTCGCTCTGGCAGAACCTCTGTAAACCGACCCAGATCCTCCATGTCGGACGTACCGATGCCACCTTAACAAAAGTCTAAAAACCGCGATGTACGTTGATGCATGTCAACCAAACCCAGCACCCGTCCCACACCTTGGCCCTAGAACCCGAAGCTGTGAATTCCTGCATGTTGCAGCAAAGGGAAGTCTGAGAATTCCTGCCGAGAGACTGCCATGAGGCTATAGCCCAGCTTGCCTTTGCTAGCAAGCAAGGGTTTAGGGTTTAGGGTTTAGGGTTTAGATTAGGCCATGATTGGGGCTTAGGGTGTTGGCATACAAATGAACCAGATAGGGGCCACGAGCCCGAATGCAGACACACGTAACGTTTATATCGCATCCCCTATAGAGCCGTTCTGTGACTGTTTAAAAGAAAAAACCAAAACAAAAAAAGGAGCATGACCGCGGAAGATTCATGACGCACTCATCGGGACGCGCGTTCTTTGAAGTTTCCCCCTATAGCTTGGCGGATGCAGAACGCAGTCGGGACGCGCGTTCTGTGGAGTTTCCCCTCAGCTTTGGCGGATTCAGAACGCGTTCCGGACGCTTTCGAGTTTCCGCTTAGCTTGGCGGATGCAGAACGCAATCGGGACGCGTGTTCTGTGGAGTTACCCCTAATTAGCTTGGCGGATTCAGAACGCAGACAGGACGCGCGTGACGCGCGTTCTTTGGAGTTTCGCCTTAGCTTGGCGGATGCAGAACGCAATCGGGACGCGCGTTCTGTGGAGTTTACCCTTAGCTTGGCGGATTCAGAACTAGGCGGATTCAGAACGCAGTCGGGACGCGCGTTCTTTGGAGTTTCGCCTTAGCTTGGCGGATTCAGAACGCAGTCGGGACGCGCGTTCTGTGGAGTTTCCCCTTAGCTTGGCGGATGCAGAACGCAGTCGGGACGCGCGTTCTGTGTAGTTTCTCCTTAGCTTGGCGGATGCAGAACGCAGTCGGGACGCGCGTTCTGTGGAGTTTCCCCTTAGCTTGGCGGATGCAGAACGCAGTCGGGACGCGAGTTCTGTGGAGTTACCGCTTAGCTTCGCGGATTCAGAACGCAGTCGGACGCGCGTTCTGTGGAGTTTCCCCTTAGCTTGGCGGATTCAGAACGCAGTCCGGACGCGCGTTCTTTGGAGTTTCACCTTTGCTTAGCGGATGCAGAACGCAGTCGGGACGCGCGTTCTGTGGAGTTTCCCCTTAGCTTGGCGGATTCAGAACGCAGTCGGGACGCGCGTTCTGTGGAGTTTCCCCTCAACAGCGCTGCGCGACACACCTCGCGTCAGACGCGGGCGCTTGCGAACGCTTCGCGGACGCTTGCGGACGCTTCGCGAACGCTTTCACCACGATCGCTGGTCACCTGCTGGACCCCTGGACCCCAACCTTTTAAACGGGAACCCTTCTGCAGAGCATTCGGGAAAAAAGTATAAATACAAAGAGAATTTGGCTACAGATGCTCAAGTGGCTGGGTCCAGGGATCAAAGGCCTTACTAACCCGGCAAACAAACTGTAGATCCCATGAGCATGTAGACCAGACGGATACGACGACTCATCGCCAGCACCAGAACATCATTACCACAATGAGCAGCAGCGGCATCGACGCACATGTTCATCATCAGCAGCCGCATCATCATCGTCATTCCCCGTCATCATGGCCTTGTCCAGAAGCATCACCAACAGTAGAGACATCACCATCGTCAGGAGCTGATGACAAGAATCACTCCCGCCAGCACCCTCAGAACGGTGAACACCAGTGCCGCCAAGACAATGCACCTGCACCGACACCAGTTACATCAGTACATTCCTGATGACCATCATCCTGATCATCGTCCTCATTACCAGCAACATCGCCACACAGCAATCATCGGCAGCAACAACCACAAG